ACTTAATGAGCAACCCCGCTCGCCCGATCAAAGATCGGCCTGTACTAAGCATGATATCTTGTTTTTGAAAACACATGTGTTCTTATTTCGATTAATTAGCTAATCTTACTATGTGATGTGCACAGCAAACAAGTATAGATTAGATCGCCTAATTTGGAACAAAACATTGCATATTCATTTGAAAATGGTTTGAAGTTCGCTACTCGCAAGTAGGCTAAATCAAGGACTTTGATGAATAGTTCCAATTCAAGTAATCCAACCTTCACTCACAGACATTCAGGTAGTTAATCAAGTAAGCAGTTAGCCTCATGGCAAGCATGCTTTTATGGCAGTCAATAACACACATGCAGTATGCTAAAGCGTAAACACTCACAGTGTACTCCGAGCCAAAACAAAAAACTAGTTAGAAATCATGCATGATCCTAGTTCATATTAAGATGGCTAATGCAACATATGCAAAAATGCAGCTAAGATAGGCTCGGCTATCTAAGATGTTATGTGAATGCAACAATTCGAGACATGTATTCAACTTGGAATTGAAATACAATGCAGTTAATATGATACGCCGAGCCCGGTGCATGTAATACAGATGAATGGATGCACGCATGCAAGCATGAGATATGCTAAACAAAATATGCCCTAAAACTAACAATGGTAAGCGGTTAAGTAAAAGGGAGAAAGAAATGGGGGTTGGAAGACATACATCAGACACACGCACGCTTATTACAACAATGCGTCCTCTCGAAGGAGTGACCGAATAAGAAGCTAACTAGCTAATCTAAGCTAATTAAACTAATTATTACAAAACAAATTGAAATAGCTAAACGCATTAACTATTAAGTACAAACCAAATCATAAGCTAGCTATCTAAGCATGGCAGCTAAGGAAAGCAGTAAAACAAGAGGTTCTCGGAGGGAGAAGACTGGATGCATGCTCGGTCTCCTTGTTCAGAAATCCAATGCAATGCCCCGATTTGCCTCTGTTTTTATTTGTTCTCAGAACCTTGCACCAAGCTCCAGAAAGCTGAAACTCCACCTAGGGAAACCTGTGGGAGGGTGGCCGACCACTTTTGGTCTCTCCAGACACCTGCCGACCACTTTTGGTTGTTGAAAAACCAGAAAAGTGGTCGGCCAGCTAGTTTTTCTAGCTGGCCGGCCAGTTGTTGCTGCTGAATTCCAGTTTGCTGCAACCGAGAGCAAGAAAGGGCATGGCAATGTATTTGCAAGATATGTGTGCACAACCACCCCCCTATCATGTCATGAACTCAAGGGGGTGTGGTTCTCGACCCTCGGGCCACCAATCACGCATTTCAATGCATGATGGCCGAGAGACAAAGTTGCACAATTCAATGTAAAATGAATGCACAAGTAAACACATAAAGCCTAAAACTCTATCATGTATGATCAAGAGCGTTGGCGACCGAGAATTGAGGCACGTTTTATCACTTTAAGTATGAAACGTCCCTCGTTTCTCGTGTTTGGACTAACACCTATTCCAAACAAAATGCAACACATAACATGGCATGCACAATGCTATGTAACATGGAGTATGCAAAAATGCAATGTGATACAAGCATGCAAATATGCAATTGACATACTAGCATACATAATGTGAATGAACTACATGGCATGCACAATGCTCATGACAAGTAGCATACACAATGCAAATGGTAACTAGTATACACAATGCAATGAATAACATGGCATACTTAATGCAATATGATCATGGCATACACAATGCAAATCAAGAGCATGGCATGCGCAATGTAAACAACAACATAACATGCACGATGCGATGTGACATGGCATACACCATGCTCAATGGGCTTAAACCGAATGTGGGTAGACCTCAACCATGCCAAAACAGAGGCCATAATGCTAAAATGAAGGCACCAAAAACACATACAAGCATGCATGCCAATTGGCTCACCAATTAAGGCACTAAGGTGCAACTCTCAAGAACACTTAAAGAGTGAAAAGCGTGGAAGTGTAACAACACTAAGTGCATTGGAATGAGGTAAGAAATGATGCCAAATCATTCAAATAACACAAGTATGGCATGCTAGGGTCCTTAAAGCATGAAGCCAGTAGAGAGGACTACAAAGGAGGCATGCAATACATGGCACAAATGCATGAACTAAGCATGGACAGAGCTCAAGTAGGTCAAAATAAGGACCTAAACATGCTGAGACGAGGGCTTAAAAGCCTAGGCATGCAGGCATACAAGCTAAGGCATAAACTAGGCAACAATGCATAACACTCAAAGGCACTTAAAGCATGATTGAGGTAGGAACATGACAATGCTAAATGCTCTGAAATGTCATGTTAAGTGATGCCAAATCATGTACACAACACAAATGAAGCATGCAATGGTGCTCAAAGCTTGAGGCAAGCAAGAGCATTTGTACTACAAGTATACACAACATGAAGCATATGACCAAGGCAACCCAAAATAGTCCTAGAACATGTTAAAATGAGTCTAAAGCATGTATGGAAGGAAGCCAAAATAAGCTAGCATGAAGGGCATAAGGCATGATGCATACAAGACAAATAAGGTGGATTACACTACTCCTATTAAGACCAAACGTGGGATGACTTAACCAATAAAAATCAGAGTTATATCATGGCATAATAACCCCAAATAAACACTGAAATGATGGCTCGCAAGCTAAGGCATGAAGGCATACGCAATGGTTCATGTTAAGACATAAAGGGGCAAACCCTCCAACGCATTGAATGAGTGACAAATGCAAGTGTATGAGCATGAAACATGGACTGAAATCACATAACAAATGATGCCAAATCATTCAAATAGTCCAAGTAAAGCATGCTAGTGGACTTGATACACAAAGCTAACAAGCTAGAATGCACTATAGCTATTCAAAGCAAGGCATGCATGACCAAAACAGCTAAAATCAGACCTTAAACATGGTAAAATATGAACAAAATCTTCTCAGAGCTAAGCCAAAATCATGCTAAAATGACATCACAAAGCATGATGCATGTTAGGCTATTTCATGGAATTACACTACAAGTGTATGGAGCATGCAAGGGGCCAACAAACCCACCCAAAACAGAGTCATGGTATGCTAAAAAATCACCAAAAACATGCTGAAATGGAAAGAAAACAAGCTAGAATGACATGCTACTTCATGAAGCATACAAAGCTAGTTTGTGTGATTTACACTACAAGTGTATTAACCATGCATGGAGTGACCAAACCAAGCAAAAATAGCGGTATGCCTCAGCAAAATAACCACAAATACAAGCTAAGATATGGCCAACAAAAGCTTAACAAAGATGCTCAAACATGAGACATATGAAGCAAGTAAACAAAATACAAGGAGAGGGGATGACCCTCTCCTATTTAGGACACCAAAACCACCTTTCCACCACTGAAAATCCTCTGGATTTCAGTGGTAGAAAGGTCATGCAAAGGGTTCAACAAGTGCCTAAAGGGATGACTCAAAACAACGCCTAACAAGGCCTAAGAGGGGGTAAATCACCCCAAACGAAAAAGTGACCTTAAACAACTATTTTAAGCATGCAAAAATATAACTTTTTCTAGTTAAGAGTTAAGCTTAAAAACATATGCAAGAAGGGCTAAAAGCTTAAGCAAGAAAGGGGGATTTAATGGTCAAATACTCACCCTTGAAGACCTCATTTACAACTGCAACTCCAACAAGTTCTTTGAGCTTAAACCAGTCCAAGAGCACAAAAAACAATCCCTTAGCACCTCAGCAACCAAAGGAAGGTGTTTGAGTGTGTGTTTGTGTGTTAAACTAAGACAAAATAACACTTTAAGGCGCAAAATGGGAACAAACAAGGAAGAATAGATACAAGTGTGTATCTATCTCTCAAGCCCCAAGTTTCTGAACCTAGAGGAGGAAGGAGGAGCCTCCCTCTTATAGAAACTAAAAGGCAAAGCTTTTTGGAGAAGCTAAGCTTCAAACAAATCCCTCCATACACGTGTATAGAGGATAGCTCTAATGTCCTCTAGCTAGCACAGCTGGAGGAAAATGTCTCCAAAAAGGTGCCAAAAAGCAGCCGACCACTTGAAGTGGTCGGCCTGTTACTTAAAGTGGTTGGCCAACCACTTCAAGTGGTCTCCCAAGACAAAAACTGGTCGGCCATAGGTGGGAGAGGTCTAGAGCATGAAAGAAAGCTAGTGGTGTGGTGGCCGACCAGAAAATGTGGCCCAAAAACCAAGCAAGCCAGTTATCCGACCAGAAAACTGGCTGGCAGAAGGAAAAGTGGTCTCCAAGGAGAAAAAGTGGTCTACTACCCTTGTACCACCTTCCAAACAAGGAAAAAAAGGTTTGTATCAAAAACAAACCAAAACGGATGCAAGATGAGAGATCGAGAGACAAGGCACGCGGCCAAAAGCCTCGAAAATTGGTCTACGAGCATCAAAAGTGGTATGCCACCACAAAAGTGGTCTCCCGGACCATAGTGTTCCTCTAGGCAGAGGCAACAAGGTGTGGTTCAAAAACCACGCCAAACGGAGAACATTAAGTGGTCCCGAGCCAAGGCGCACGGCCGAAGGCTCCAAAAATCGGAAACTAGTCTCCAAGCGGGAAAAGTGGTCTACGACCACAAAGAGATGGTCTACAAGACCTCTCCCTCCCTCCGGGAAGAGAAACAAAGTTTGGTCCACAAACCGAGCCGAAGGACAAAAGAGTTCAGAGGCCCGGAGGCAAGGCTCTCAGCCAAAACTCCAAAACCTCTAAATGAGCACAACATGCACCATCACCGAGCGCTCAATCGATGACGTCTGAGTCTTAAAGTCGGTTAAAAATGGGGTGTCTACAGGTACGAAATATAGTTAACTCTTCATCCTCAAAGTGCCATCCATATTTGGTTGTATCCTGAACACCCATCCATGAAAGACAACACCTCATGTCCGGTAGTGGCGTTTATCATTAATTCCATAATAGGAAGCGGAAAGTCATCCTTGGGACATGCTTCGTTCAAATTTTGAAATTCGACACATATTCTAATCTATCCATTCTTCTTGACTACTGGGACCATACTTGATATCCATGTCAGATATTTTACTTCACGTATGAACCTAACTTTGATCAACTTGTCGACTTCTTCTTCCACTTTAAGGATGTGCTCAGGTCTGATGCATCGATGAGCCTGCTTTACTAGTCGTATACCATGTTTGATCCCAAGGTGATGGGCAGCAACCTTTGGACTTAAACCTGGCATATCCTTATACGCCCATGCGAAGACATCTTTATATTCGAGGAGCAGTTCAAAAAATGTCTTTTCATCCTCAGGCGTTAAGAGTGTTCCCACAAAGATTGGTCGAGGGTCATCAGGAGTTCCCAAGTTGTTCAAATTGTCAACAGTTGATTGCCCCCCATCTTCAAGTTCTGGTGGAGCTTCTTGGAGATCATCATCCTCCGAATCTGAGCTAGAGTCTTCTTCAACTGTTACATGGTGAGAACCAACATGTTCAATTTCTTCTTCTCTTTTACTTTCCGCTTGAGTCTTAACTTCTCCAGTTAGTATGATAGTGTGCCTTTTGACCTTAAGCGGACCTTCAACACTAACTTCAAGTGATGTCATGTGTTTCATGCGAGAAAGAATCAAACTTCGAGTCTCATCATCCTCCTTTGTAGAATTCAACTCAATTGTCGTTGTACTTCTCTTGTTCTTGCCTTTTCTAGGTGATGTATTCATATCACCAAGTGAGCAAAAATGGAGTTCGTGACCAAGAAGTTTGTTTTTCATCCCCTACCTTAGTACTGCCTAATCTGTTAAAAACTGAAGGTTGAGAAGTTGTACCTTCATCTGTCTTATCAACAGTGCTCATCCTATTAAAAACCGAGGTTCAAGGTGCAGGAGCTTCAATACGGTCAAACACTAAAACTCGAGGAGTTGGGCTTGGACTTTTGTCTTCCTTCACTTCTTCCACAGTGATGTGTTATATGTCTTCCTTCTTCCCTTTTCTCTTGGCAGAGATATGAATGGGTTCAGTTGGCATGAATCCGACTCCGGTCTTTGGAGAGCTCACCCTGTACCCTTGTTACCTTAACTTTCTCTGAGTTTCATTAAGACCATGAACTTTCTCACCTATAAGTTCAAGACTTAACTCTCCTAGTGATGAGGGATCAGCAAAGTCATAACCTGACTTGGCTAGAAGCTTGTATGCTTGTGGATCAAACCCTTCCATTCGTCCTTCAGGTAAGGAGCCGTGTTCGATAGAATTTTGTGAAGGCCTAACAAATCCCTTTAGCGAAGGTTTGATTAGGCTTGACAATCCCACCTATGGAATTGGTATTGTTGCATCTGCTCGTAGTATCTGCAAATCTTCTTTTATTGCGGGGTGAACAAAGTCTCCTTTAACTTTTGCAGACGTCGTGACTTCCTCAAACGGCGACTGCCCTTCTTTCCATTGAGACTTCGGCACATACCTGAAGACTTGTGTCATTGCATGGCATTTTGAGGATAAAGGATGTTGTTGTGGCTCTTTTGCCACTTGATACGTCTTCCCTTGAGAAGTCCAACACAACTTGTTTTTCTTCATTCATTTTCTCTTTTCTTACAGAAGGGATTTCAACTGGAATAACTTTAGGTATCCCATTGGAATCCAAATAAAATTTTGCATCAGCAAAGTGAGACTCAGTTTCTGTAAATGGCTTGTCATCTGCTAACACCGTCTTTATTCCACCTTGGTCAAATTTAAAACATTGATGGAGAGTTAACATAACTATACCATTTCCATGGACCCAGGGTCGCCCAAGCAACAAATTATAGGACGTTCTTGCATTGATGACAGGAAACAAAGTACTAGCTGTGAGTTCTCTAATTGTGAGGTTCATACGAGTCATACCAATCGCGTGTTGCCCCCCTTTGGTTGAAACCTTAAATAACCAGACGGCTTCGAGCTAACTCATCAATTGGGATTTTGAGTTTGTTCATGGTGAACTTTGGCATGATGTTTACCGCTGAGCCTCTATCAATAAGGATGCGGTTAACTTTTTGTTCACTAATAAAGCCAGAGGCAAACAATGGGCGATTGTGTGGCTTTGAAACTAGTTGAAGGTCTTCATCAATGAAGGTGATTGTTGTGTAACAAGGAACAGAAGTGATGGAGTTCACCTTAGGATAGTCTAGCTCATTAACAACAAACTCATATTTTCTAGGATCTTCTAACACCCGAACAAGTGCAAGTTGTACAAACTGAGGAAGATGAGACGCTTCATGCAAACTAAAGCATAGGGGTAGTTTTTTCAAGGTTGTCAGGACCTCAATTTCCTCCTTATTTAGCGTTGCCTTTATGGCGTGCACTTGTTCCATATTTGCTTCCATGGTTAAAACCGTATAGACTGCCTCGACCAAGTCATCTCCCAAACTACCCAATTGGGAAGAAGTCTTGCAGGATAATTAGGGCACACAAGTTTTTTTCAAGAAATTTATCTTCTTGTTACATCTTCTTTTCATTCTCCCTTTTGTCTGTCACCTCCTTCTTGGAATGTCGATAGGAGTTCTTCTTTTCTTTTACTTTCTTGAGTGAAAAATGTTGCATCTTAGACTTGCTTCTTCGTGACTTCCTTTGTCTCACGAGAGTCCAACTTTCATCTTCTCCAACAGTTAAGACTTCTTCAAAACCGTCATGGACATGCATGTCTTGATTTGGAACTTGAATAATGACAGGTTCAAGTGAACCAAACTGCATGACTTTGGGAATTGCTTTCACTGTTGGGATTGCAGATTGTGACATTTCTGTCTTGGAGTTTGAGGATGGAGAATTTGGAGGTCCTACAATAACCATTGCATGGTTGGATTCTGCCGATTTATCAAGGTCCAAGAGGATTTTGTTCTTCCTGGCCAAGTCCACGAGCAATTCCTTTAACACGAAGCATTTTTCAATAAGATGACTAACTATCCGATGATAGTGGCAATACTTCGGATCCTTCACGCAACCTATTTCTTCAGGACGTTTGCACTTAGGGAGTTGAATGACTTTTTTTTCAAGTCAATCTTCTAACATCCTTGGTACGTCAGAGTCAGGAAAGGGATACTTCTTTTCTTGTAATTCCTTCAGAGATGGGCGTGTTTCCTTCCTTTCTTCTTTCTTCTTTCTTCTTTCTTCTTTCTTCTTTCTTCTTGTCTTTTGTTGAAATCTTGATTGGAGCTGTGGTTACCACCATTGCTTCTTTGGTGGTACCTTTGAAAGGCTTGCCTCCTTTTTTCACTTCTTTGTTATCTTTTCTTTGTTCAAGAATTGGGAGGTCTTTCCCGCCATGGTTGGCTATGCTAATTTCCATGTCATGTGAATGCGTAGCTAACTCTTCAAATGTTTGTGGTTTTATCCCTTGAAGGATGTAAAGGAGTCCCCAATGCATGCCTTGCATACATATCTCCACAGCCGAAATCTCAGAGAGTCGGTCTTTACAATCTAGACTTAGAGCACGCCAACAGTTGATGTAGTCTACCACAGGCACATCCTTCCATTGCTTGGTACTGGTTAATTCCATCATGCTTACCATATGACAGGTGCTATAGAAACGATTAAGGAATTCACGTTCTATTTGCTCCCAACTGTCAATTGACTCAGCCTCCAAATCAGTGTACCAATCAAAGACATTTCCTTTGCGTGACCGAACAAACTGTTTGACAAGTAGATCATCGTCTGTCCCGGCATTTGTTGCAAGTTTCAACAAAGTGAGCGACATGTGGTTTAGGATTACCTTTTCTGTCGAATTGTTGGAACTTGGGAGGTTGGTATCCACTAGGCATTCTGAGAATGTCTATCCTCTTTGTGTAAGGCTTGGAGTACATGAAAACACTTTGCAAAGGCCCACCGTATTGTGCTTGGATGGTATTTGCAATCATGTCTTGGAGTTATTGAACAGACAAAGATGCAATGGATACTGGTTGACTACTTGTGCCAATCGCTTGCCTCGCAACAAATGTATGGCAACTTTCCTCACCAACAACTTGCTTGGACTTATATTCAGGGTTCACCTTCTCAACAAACATGCCTTGTGGTGTAAAGCCAGGTTGATGAGAATTATCTTGACTTGCCTTATCAGCATTTCGTGCTTCTAACTTGTTCATCATGGTGGCAATCTGAAGATCTTTCTCTTCCACAATTTTGGTGAGCTTGTCAATGGCCTGAGCCATGGTCGCCAATTGTTCTTCCACTGAAGTGGTGCCAGTGGTCATAACTTGCATAGCCACCGACCGAGACAAATCTGAGTGATTCGATGAAATTGAACGTTGAGGACTACTAGGAGATCTTGAGTGTGAGCCTGTACTTGAGTTTGCATCAAAAGCTACGGGTGTTGGGTGTGGAGAGAAACCTTCTGGTAGAGAATTCTTTGAGACAGAAATGGACTCCATTCCCTCACTTCCTTTTGCTTAGCCCTAGAGGTAGATACTGTGATAGATTTGTGAGACTTGCCTTATGCTTGCTTTGTTGCATTGGCGGTCGGCATGACCCTGTAAGTAACGAGAGCAATGGTAGCCTTGGTCTTGCTACTGGTGATCAGACCTGTAGAAGTGCTGTTGTTGCTGGTCGTGACAACGGCATTCTTGCTGGAGTTCTTATTGATCGGAACAATTTGAACTTTCTTTGAAGCCATTGTGCTTGATCAAACAAGACTCTGAGAAGATGCCTTAAGAGAAAGAGATGAGAGGCAGAGAGGTCCCACTGGGGGTGCCAAAATTTGTAAACACAAATTTTGTATCCTGCAATTAAGACACAAAATAAATGCACAAATAATTAATTTTATTGATTATAATAAATGGGGTATAATCCTCTGTGGTTTGCTCTATTACAAAAGAACAAATCCTCTGATTCGACCTCTGAAATGGGTGTAATTCAACAGCTATAGAAGCTTGTTGTTGAATCAAACAAGTTGATGGATTTCTTCAAGTCTTTGAATGGAGAAACTTTGAGAAGAAAGGCTTGATCAAGGGCTTAAACGGCTTGATCTCGAACGAGTCTTGAGAAGAACTCCTTGAAAAGAGAGAACAAATTTGTATTTACAACTTGAAAGGATCGGCACAAGTTCGGAGTGCTTGATAATCCTTTCTTTTAGGTTTGAAGAACTTTAGAGAGAATTTTAAGAAGAATATTTGGCAGAGTCTCGAGATTGCTTAGGAGCTTGCAAGACTTTTAGCCCCAAAAAAAATGTCTCCTCTTCCTCTTGGTGAGAGCCTCTATTTATAGGCTTAGGAGAGAAGGATCAATTTTGGAAACTCCAAAATTAATTTGAATTTCCAAGGAAATGACAATTTATTTTTTAATTTATAGACATGATTTGCATTCAAATTTAAATTTGAATTTGAATTATTCCACTAAGTTTTGATAAAATATTTTTATGGGCCCACACATTTGGGTTGACCCAATTGTCAATATATGTTTACTTTTCTTTTGGTATGACCCATAATTTAAAATGGGTTAAGATCTAGAATTTTAGAAGGACCCGCATCATTTAAAAATTTTGACCATCTTCACTTTGACCAATCAAGAAAATTTATTTGCCTTGATTAATCAGACGGTGATCAAGACACGTGAAAATTTAAGTGTCTACAATAGTACTCACCCATAATTTTACAAGGAGTATTTTTGGAGAGAACTAATCTCCATTCTCCATTTTTTCCGTGAGAGTAAAAATAAGAGATTCATGGGAGAGTCTTGTCATTATTCTCTTTCTAATCTCTTTGCCTTCGTCTTCACCCAATCTCTCATATCTATCATCTCTTCCTATTGTGTTCATAGTTGCTACCATTGAAGAATCTAAGCCTCTCTCATCATTTCTAGAGAATTCGAATTTTCTGACGATCTTCAAATTTTTTGACGAGCTTTCGAAATTTCCGACAAGTTTTCCAGCAACATTTCTGAACCCTTACATACATATATATTTTGTAATTTGTCTACACCTATTTTTTAAAATCTTGTACATCGCATGGGTTGTTAGTTTATGTATAAATAAATGTGTCAACAACTTGTTAAGCCACATATTTTGTTTTTCAAACTTTATATTTTATTAAACTTTTTTAAAAAAAATGTTGTTAAATTTTTTTAAGTTTTAGAGTAGAAGTACCTAAAGAAAGAAAAAAATGGACCAAATTATTTATAGAGGAAAAAAAAGAAAAGAAAAGAAAAGAAAAAGTTCGCTAATAACAAATAAAGTCAAAAAAATCCAAGAAAATTGACTCTCTCTATTTTCATAAGTTTCTTTAAATTTGATTGATTTCTTAATTTTTTGGAGTCTGTATAATAAAGTATGACCTACAAGTAAATATTGTTGTCAATTTTAAAATTTCGCTAGAAATAATAAAAAGACAATGAAAAAGTTGCTAAAAAAAATTCCAAACCTGCACTTAATGGATACTGAGAATCTAAAAGGAAACAAACTTCTCTCTAATCCGGATATGAATAGAAGAAATGCGGTCCAAAACGTATAAAGAGAAATGGTAGAAATGACCATCTCTTTAAAGTTTTAAAACTCCCTTAAATATAGCAGTGTTAGTCATGAATATTTTAAAATCATATAGATTCATTATTATTACTTTTGTTTTGTTTTTTTTTTTTTTTTTTTTTTGAGAAATTTAATACCCATTTCCTAAGATTTGATAATAAAAATTAAAAATTATTTATTAATAATTTCTTTTATTACATTTAGTATAGACATTCTAAACTTTGCTATGCTGTAGAAAAAATAGTCTAAAAGTACTTAGAATGTTGTTGGATGGTGTATGTAAATTCAATTTTGTATAATGGGACGGTTCTTATAATACATCTCAACTATTCAATGCTTTTTGTAGACAATTTTTTGAGTAAATATGCTGGATTCCTAACATTGTTGTTTTAAGT